GCGTGAATGAGTCCGAGCTGGTACGGTTTCCGGCGGTTTGGTCGCGATGGTGCACTGAGCAAGGCGGTAGGCGTAGATTTGATAAATCACTACCGGAAATGCTCCAACACCTAGTGCGGCTACTGTTCACGCCGGAAAAACAGTGTCCTAACTACAGTGCGCCGCCTAAAACAGTGTCTCTGATACCATGTGAATTATATGAAATGTATTTCATTATAATGAATCTTAATATGAAGAACTATACAAGTAGCTATATTTATAGCAAAAACTAGAGCACTAGGGTTACTATACAAGCTGGGCTTAGCCCAATACAACTAGGGTTTCAACACACAGCAGCCATCATCGTCTCCATATTATCTTGCCTCACTGCCGCTTCTCTCTGGTTTCTTGCTATATCCATCATCTTTCTCTCCATTTCTCTCATACGCCCTTCCATTTTAGCACGCGTAGTTCTCAACCAAAGATCGTCGTGCTTTGATACCACTGTTAGAGACACCAGAATCACAGTAATATCACAGAAGAATTCAAAAGAACTTCTCAAGCTTTATTGAATTCATGCAGAGCTACAATGGCCGAAGCCCCCAAAAGATAGAGCTAGAACTCTAATCTTCCCAGTCCTGACTTAGCAGTCTAACAGCCTCCCTTTATTACCCACTCCCCTTCTATTTATACTACTCTAGCTATTACTCTTCTTATTAACTCTTATTCTACCGGGTCCCTAACAAAGTATTCCACTTTTGACACTCCAAATGTGCATTTAGATCGTTTAGCAAATAGAGTATGTTTCTGTAGTAATAGAAAGACTTCTCTCAAATGCTTTTTATGTGTTTCTTTATCTGAACTGTAGATCAATATATCATCGAAGAAGACCAACACAAATTGCTTCAAACAATCTCTGAACACACGGTTCATAAGGGCCTGAAAAGTGGCTGGGGCATTTGTTAATCCGAATGGCATGACTGTGAATTCATAGAGTCCACTAGCAGTAATGAAAGCAGTTTTCTCAATATCTTCCGACTTCATTCAAACCTGATGATATCCAGCCCTTAAATCAATCTTAGAAAAGATTGATGCTCCATTTAATTCATCCAGCAAGTCATCTATCAAAGGAATAGGGTAATTATTCTTGATGGTTACTGAATTTAACTTCCTGTAATCTACACAGAACCTCCATGTTCCATCTTTTTTCTTGACTAATAATACAGGACTGGAATAAGGGCTGTGATTAGGCTGAATAACCCCAGAATTGAGCATCTCTTTTATAAGCTTGTCTATCTCTTGTCTCTGCAAATAAGGGTACCTGTATGGTGCTTGTTTAAAGGGTTCCTCTCCTTTTTTTATCTCAATTTGATGCTCATTATTCCTCAAGGGAGGCAGACCTTTAGGTTCTTGAAAGATTACTTGAAATTCTTCAAGTAATTCTTCCATTTCTGTGTCTTTATCTTCTATTGCTTTGCTCTGTACAGAAGTAACCATGCATATGTATCTGGATATTACATTATGCTTTTTGTTCCATAACCCTCTCATCTTCTTCCCTGATATTAATTTCACAGACATTTCTGGTTGTATCCCTGGAACTACCACCTTCTTCCCTTGATGATCAAATGTAATAGAATGATTATCATAATCAAGCATAATTGGCCCCAGTTTCCTCATCAAATCTACCCCCATAACCATATCATACCCTCCAAGGGGTAAAATCCTCAAGGTAGCTGAAAAACTGTGCCCAGCCATTTCCCACTCCAGTTTAGGACACTTAGAGTTACACTCTATTTTACCCCCTCCTGCTACAGTTACTTGCAAGGGGTTAGTCATTTCAATGTTACAGTTGATTTTCCTTGCTGTTCCAGGGTCAATGAAGCTGTGAGTACTTCCTGAGTCTACTAATATAGTCAGGTAATTGATCTTCACCTTCCCTTCCAGTTTGATAGTATCAGTAGGTACTTGACCTTGAAGTGCATGCAAAGAAACTCCAAAATCTGTTTCTTCATCACTTTCCTCTGACCGAGCTAAATCAGTGACCTGCTTCTCTTCCTCCTCAGTCAGTTGTATAACAAAGATCTTCTTGCACTTGTGTCCCATGGTATATGTTTCATCACAATTGAAACATAACCCTTTCCTTCTCCTAGCATCCATTTCCTCCTTACTCAACCTTCTAACTGGCATAACTTTTTCAACTGTGTTTACCCCTTTAGTTTCAATACCTCCTTTTCCCCAATTAACCTTCTGAATTCCTTTTCCTGTTCTTCCCATAGCTTCCAACAAGGCTTCTTGTTTCTTGGCAATCAAGAAAGCTTGCTCTAATGTTTCAGGAGTTACAATCTCTACCATATGCCTGATCTCACTCTTTAGGCCACTAAGAAAACTTTTCAGAAAGTAATATTCATCCAAGTGTTTGTTTCTTTGTAGCATGAAAGATTTCAGTTCAGAAAATTTATCTGTATAGTCATCAACTGCCCCTTTCTGTCTCAGTTTATTGAAATCACCAATAATGTCATTTTCCTTTGAAAATCTATCCAAGAATAGCGCTACAAATGCCTCCCAGCCCATAGATTCTTTTCCCACAATACGGTCCATATACCAGTTTTCCATACTTGCAGTCACGTACATTCCAATCAATTCAATTTTCTCGTAATCAGACATGTTATGGATTAAGAAGTACCTTTCACATTTTCTGATCCATCCCCTAGCATTTTCACCATTAAACTGAGGAAATTCTAATTTGATTCCACGTTGATGTCCTGGAGTAGAAATCAAACCTGAATCCGGTCTACGAGGAGTATGTTCCTGATGGAGGTTGCTATTGATTCCTTTAACTGCAGCGATGACTTCTTCGAACCATCTTTCACTCAGTTCTGCAAGCTTTGTGAAATCTGTTCTCTGCACCTCATTGAGCTTTTCAATCTCATGTCGTATGTTGACCAAATCTGCTTCTAATTGAGTAATACGGTCTGTATTACTCATCTTTGCCATGAATGATAAGCTAGCTCTGATTCCAAATTGTTATGATAGTTCACTCTGGAAACTAATCACGACGAAGACGAGAGAAGGTCGAAGGAGATTAGAGAGAAAGATAGAAAAGAGGAAGAAACATTATTCATTTCATAGCCAGAAACTATACATCCGTTCCTTTATATACAATGGATGTTTACCACTAACTGGCTAACCACTTCTACCGGCTAACGGATATGCTAACAACTAACAGTTTAACCCACCCTTCCGTTTGTTAATATCCCTTTGCCAGCTCTTTTAGTTATCCACGTAGATATTTTGAATACAGAAGCTTTGGTCTTGACATAATGCTTCTCTATGTGCGGTTAATTTGATGTATCTTGCTCCAAGCCTTAGTACAAAAAAGAATTGATTATTTTGATTTGATTTAGAAAATGCAAGTATTGAGTTTCTTAAATTGGGTTTTGTTGCTGAAGAGAATATTTTTCTAGTCAAGCCTAGCTTAGCGTACCCTAGCGTTGTAGTCAACTTCTGGCAATTAGGTTAGGAATTTAATTCTTAAAGTAGTTCCTGTAAATAGTGTTGTGATCTATTCCTCTTGTACTATCTGCACAGTTGAATTTTTAGCTTATATTAGAATTTCATTTAGGTGTCTGTACAGTTTAATTGGACAGTTGGTAAGGGCTTTGTTGCTAATAATCTAAGAATGAGACATATGTCAAATTTTTATCTGTCTAGGTAAGGTAAAGTATGCAGTTATGAGTACGCTAACAACTTTTCACTTATCATAAGCTAAACTTTTTGTTTAGTTTACTTTCTCGTATATATTATTCTAGAATTGTTTCATTGTTAACATAGATTGGACAAAGTATATGCTTTATCATCCAAAAATTTTGTTTACCGAAACATAAGTTCGTGAATAAGGAAAATAAGGGGCACATCAGAACCAAGGACCGCTTAATAGGTGGATAAGAAGATGTAATCATTATGCACCTGTTTGATCTTGGAAAAGAAGACCACTGGAATATAATTCTTAGCATCTGCAGAAGCGTGAATCTCCCCCACACCCACAGGGACAAGTAAGATGAAAAACATGACATGCTCTGCTGCTAAAGCTGACCTAAATAAGTATTGCACAGAAAGGTTTGGGAAACCACAACATTGGCGACTGGCGAGTAACATAAAAGCGTACAAGTATGTATATGAAAAGTGACCAACAAATGCATGATATCATTTTTACTCAAGATTTATGAAGCAGTGCCTACAGTCTTTTTATCTTGCAACATCTTGGTGCCTAATAATGTCATACATTTCTTTGACATTGTTCTTCAATTCAACAACAACATCCAAACCTTACTACCAAAAGAATAAAAAAGCTAGCACTGTGGAAAAAAATTGGTTAAATGATATTGCCTAAGTTTTATACCTTTCAAAAGATTTAATAAGAAGCACCATAATTTATGCGAATCACTGGTTGATATAGATATAAAGTGTTCAGTAATGTCCACTTTAGCGTCTAAGTAATCAGGATCCATCAAACATGAACCAACAGGTTGCCTTTGCAAAGTTGCAAGAACTTGTGTGGCATCTGGCAGCTGGTAATCTGTAGTGGAGTCTGGAGACCAGTTGCAGTGGTTGTGGTCACTTCAAAATACAAATATTAGAATGTAATTAGTTTTGAAATATGAGAATTTGAATTTTATTTCACGCATTACCCCGCAGTACCCCACATGGTGACAACCCAAATGAGAAAAGTGCGACTAACATTGCAATCACTAGATAACACGGCTCAGGCAGTTTGTGTGTGTGAAGTGAAAGTTATAGATTTTGCTTTTCAGCTTCATTGATGTGAAAGTGCTTTAAATATCTATTAATGCATGGACTAGTGGATTGTGAGGGTTCAAGGAGCAGTGTGACTAGAGGCATCATGCTCCTCTATTGGCGGATGATTTTGTTTTCTTTTCTTCTCTTTTTTGTTCATCCCAAATGAAATTATGGTGGTGGATGGTTCACAGCAGTAGATGCTTTTTTGTTTTGTTTTGTTGCAGGGCTACATAGCAGGACATATCACTGAAAAAGAAGCAAGTAATTTCCTAGTCAAGCATATTCTTCTAGGAAAGTTAACATTCTTGCAGCATTTCAATAAAGGTGAAGAAATGGTACCCACAATGGGACCTCATGGTGGAACCATTCTTGTTCGGAAGATAGCTGCATCAAGTCCAAAGTATATGATGAGTTACTTAGTGCTTCTAATTTTCTTCGCGCTCCATCATAAATATACATTCGTTGCTGTATTTGTTTCTTTCTTATTTTAAAAAAGGAATTTTATCAATTCAAGACCCGAAAGATAGATTAATTATCAATTCGGGACTTGCAAGATAAAATGCATCGATATAGGAACTGAATGATGAAAAACTATCAATTTAGGACCTGAATGATTGAAAACTATTAATCTAGGACCTAATTGTCATAATTTTTTTTATTAAATTTTTTTAAATATTATTTCGTTTTATTAAACTAATAAACTTTTGTGAAGAAAAGTTTATCAAAAATTAGTAATGGAATTAATAAAAAATTAAATAAATCAAAACCTATGAAACGTTAGGTCCTAAATTGATAGTTTTCCATCATTCGAGTCCTATACTGATACGTTTCATCTTTCGGGTCCTGAATTGATAATTAATCTATCTTTCGGGTCCTGAATTGATAAAAAAAGTTCATACTTCAGATACTGATTCAGACCCCTCATTGTGTAACACTGATACAAAAAGTGCATTGGAGTTGGCTTTTTGCTTTTATGGTAGAAGAATAGTATTTCAAGTTAAAGGGTTGGTCTCTATTATTTTTTATCTTCAGTTCTTTTGCCAAAAGCTAATAAGCATTGAACAAACTTCATTCTCTTTTCCTTATGGAAGCATTACATGAAGCAAGCAAGAGCCATGTAGTCTAGGTTTAAAATGGAAACTATGAAAGTTGCATAGGATCTCGTAGCAAGTAAAGCTTCATAACTCGAGTATGTGTCCCAAGTGAATTCAGTATATGAACAGAAGTTCCTAATTTTTATTGACCGGATATATTTTAGTGCTAAAAAAAGAAGTAGTTTGTTAGATAAGTAGTGAAGCCTGATTAAAAGCTACTTGAAAAATTAATTCTGTTTATACAGAAGTTGTGGATTTCTGATATGTATGTTGCTTCATTTATTTACTGGGAGCTTTTAATAGTCTTGAAAAGATATGAAATTCAGTAAAGACAATTACATTCTGCCAGCAGGCTCAATCGTGTCCATGAAAGTATGTTGGGTTTTGAGGTGGTTTCATTTGCGATCATTTGATCATTTTCTTAGAGCTTATACAATTCTTTCACAGGCAAGTTTTTGTAGGAGATGTTGTAGTCCTTAAGGACCCTGTTAAGTCAGGCAATCTTCTTGTTCGGAGATTGACTGCAATTGAAGGATATGAGATGGTCTCCACTGATGAAAAAGATGAACCTTTTGTAATTAATGAAGATGAGTGCTGGGTAGAAGCGGACAATGAAAGCATAAAGCCCAAGGTATATCATATATGTACTCTTGCGAATTTCATGTAAATGTTTTCCTTCTGCACATTTCACACCCAGTGTTCTCACTTATATTTATTGAACTTGTGAGTTGTGATCTGTTATGTACACCTGAAAATTGTTATATGATCTAACTATTTAAGACCCATCCTGGACCTGGTCTTGTTTTAGTCCATTTTTCTGACCTTACGTGAAATATATTATCACAATCCCATTATACATTGCCAACTTCGAATTTGGTGAGAAATAAGAAACGTAAAATTGTGTGGTTGGTGCATGTGCAGATGATAGAGAAAAGAGCATAATCACAAATTAGTTACCGTAATAGGAAAGTGGTGAATTTTTTGGGAAACCAAAAAAAGAAAGTTGGCGAAGTCCAATGGGACAGAGGGAGTATATCTGAGCTGATCAAATTTTCTGATCTACTTTGATGTGGTATGATCAGAATTTTTTGGTCTAGTCTATTGTATGTTTTTGGTCCGGTCGGGTCTAAATGTATTTTGTCTGGTATGATTAAAATAAGCATTAGTAATAACAAAAAAAACCTAATGTATTCATTTCTTCTGTCCTCAAGTGTTTGGCTAGTCATACTTTTGTTACGGAGTATTTCCCAAACTCTTCAGGGTCTCTTTGATCTTGGGAAATGCCGGGGAAAGAGAAATGGAGTGCAAAATATATGTTTTATAGGAAAAAGTGTTGAGGATTTTTTTTTAAAATGGTTAAAACTTGATATATTTATCTTTAGAATATGTTTAACTTTTTGTGTGTAAAAGGAAATTTAAATTTATGAAAGAAATGTAAAAAGATTAATAGTATTTCATTTTTATATGCAAAACCAAACATATGATAGTGTCTTCTTTAGCATTCTATTTCCTTTCCCTAGCATTTTCCGGGATCCAAAATAGCCTTATGGTATTTTTGTCTCTCAAAATGATAGGAACGCTGATTTCGTAACAGTAAAACAATCACTATTATTGAACATAATTGCACTTCGAGAGGCCTCAACTCTCCCAGATCCTAATTTCCCAAATAAAAAATCTCCCCTTTCTTATTTCTCCCTCCCTTCTATTTATACTTACTTATGGGCCAGCCCAAAACTAACTAATTGTTAGAGTCTCAGGAAGTCAACTGTTTGATAATAATAATAATCATAGTAGTAGTAGCTATTATGATAAAGTATTCCAGAAGAAAAGGGAATAATAAGTAGCTAGCTGTTTTGTAATTGGGGGTCGGGTGGACTTATATAAATAGATAGCTAAAGGAGGAATAAGGAGGCTGTTATTTGGTATTGGACTGGGACTAGAGAGTTGACATCTCTTTAACCGTCAGGGCACTTTCTCTATCTTTTATGTTGTTCGAATAACCATTCCTGTTCACTGTTCATCTTCTTTCATATTTTCTGTCGCCATTATTACTGATTCCAGATAGATACTTAACATTGGTATCAGAGCATCGACCTGGTAACCTGTACATGGTCGTTACGAGAGGATCAACAAGAACAACAATGGAAGTTAGACTGGAAAACTTGGAACGCGAGTTGGAACGTAGTCGTCTGGACATGTTGCGAGAGTTGGAGAAGACTCGCATGGAGGTGATGCGCGATCGCGATCGCGACCGCGAAGACATGCGTGAAGAGGCTCAGCGAACTCGCGATGAGTTGCGCGACTTAATAATGCAGCGAGGCGAGTCGCGCGGAAGATCCAAAACAACGAAGCGAAGTAAGCGACATGATAGCAATGAATCATCTTCGTCTTCGTCAGGTAAGCATCAATCTTCTTCGCGAAGTGATGATTACAGTAAATTGATGGAAAAGTCTGGAAGGAAAGTAGATTTACCACTCTTTAACGGACATGATGCTTATGGATGGATAGTTAAGGCTGAGCGTTTCCTTAAAATGAATCATATAGAGGAAGATGATAAAGTAGAATTAATTACTTTAGCTATGGAAGGAAAGGCTCTTAACTGGTTTCAGTGGTGGGAAGAACACACTGAGGTGAGGACCTGGGAATCATTCAAGTCTGCCTTGACTCGTAGATTTCAACCAGGATTGATAAATGATCCTTATGGCCCCTTATTGAGTGTAATTCAAATTGGCAGTGTAATGGAGTATAGGGAACAATTTGAGTTGATGGTAGCACCTTTGAAACAGACTGATCTGAAAATCCTTAAAGGAATCTTCATGAAGGGTTTAAAAGACGAAATAAAAGCAGAATTAAAATTGTATCCGGTCAGAACTCTTGCGGAGTTGATGGATAGGGCCTTGCTAGTGGAACAAAGGAATCAGACTCTGAAATCTGCAAGGAACAAGGAAGATGATAGAAGAGGAATGAAAGATAAGGGGTATACTTCAATACAGAATCACAAATGGATGGATGAAAACAAAGGGAGGAGCAGTCTGAACTACCAGTCCAGTCAAGGGAAACCTGCCTTGGAAAAGAAAATGATGGAGACAGGAAATAAGCAGTCTGGAATAATGGGTACACACAGATTATCTCAATCTGAGTTACAGGAGTTGAGCAGAAAAGGTCTGTGTTTCAAGTGTGGGAAAAAATGGGGAAAAGATCATATTTGTAAGATAAAACACTTCTAGCTCATCATGTTAGATGAATCTGAAGAGGAGGAGGAATTTGAGAGTAATACTATAGAACCTGCTTCACCAATGGAAGAAACAGACCTCTCTACTATGCAGTTATCTCTCTTGAGCAAGGAAGGAATCACAACTCCTAAGACTTTTACAATGAAGGGAAAGTTAAGGAGCATCATGGGGGATAAAACTATAATCATTCTGATTGACTGTGGGGCCACCCACAATTTTATCTCATAAGTATTTCAAGCAGCAGGCCTACCTATATTACAGATTCCAGAATTCAAGGTGAAGATAGGAAATGGAGACATAATCAGAAACAATGGGAGATGTGAAGCTGTTTTTCTTAACATACAACAAACTACCATTGTTCAAGACTTTTATGTCTTAGAATTGGGGGAAAATGAGATAGTTTTGGGGCTGGATTGGTTAGCAGGCTTGGGAAATGTTGAATTTAATTTCAATTAGCTGACTATCAAATGGAAGGAAAAGGGTAAAACAATGAAGCTTCAGGGAGATACCAACTTCAGCAGGAATCAAGTTTCTTTCAAATCCATCATCAAGAATAAGCAAAGAGCATGGAGAAGGGTATTGTTCGTTCAGCACTGCAATAACTGAAAACAAACTGGAAGTAAGTATGACTGGAAATTGGAAGAAAAAGGTGATGGGTTACGCTACTAAAGGTGAAGCATTCGAACTATCAAAGTGGTTTGTGGATTCGAGGGTTGAGCCGATCCCAGCAGTTGAATTGATTAGCAAGTTATATGCAAAAGAGAACTATGGTGAGCACGTTTGAACCAACAGTTTCAGAGATGGAAGGATGTTAATCTGGAGTGGTATAATGGTGGAAACAAGGGGTATGGGCTGCAAAATCTTGAAGGAGTATCTGAAAGGTGTTTTATCATTGAATGTATTGGAAGGGAGGTGCTGGATGTGCATGCTTATGAGGCACACCCAAAAGAAAATGTAGAGAAGGGTCACAAGCAATTTTACTATATCAATTTGGAGGACTCTAAGGCTGCTGAACTGAATGGATGGTCAATAGAGACACCTTCTGCTGCAATAACAACAGTGATTTTGGAAGTTCATGCGCTGAAGATAACAATAAAGAAAGCAGTGGGGTATTGGGAAAGAAGAGGTGCAAAAATGAAGAAGAAGCTGTTTGTCAAAATGAAGAAGAAGCTGTTTGTCATATCACTCCCCACTTAGAGAACCACCTTGTCCTCAAGGTGGGTGATAGGAACCGACCTGGACTTTCGGCTTTATCTTCATTCTTGCGCCTCTTCCTTCCCAATACCTCCCTGCTTGCTGAGCCAGAAGCATCGGTACTTGTTCCTTCAAAATCACAAATGGTGCTGCTGCAGAAGATATGTTGAGTGCAGTTTTATTTGCTGCAGTAGCTTTCAAGCACTCACTAGCTACAAGTGTTTCACTGTTCTCATGAAACTCCTCAAGGATTATAACTTCTGAAACTATCAATGTGCTGGATGCAGATTTGATGTTACTGAAGTTACTCAATTCATTGTCTGCAACAAGCCCTATGCAAAGTTCTCCATTTTTCTGTACGGCAGCTGGTATCAATGACAAAATTACTTGTAATAGCTGGATTGGTCTCATAAAACCTCAACAGCTGACAGCAGTTGTGCACAACAGTGCTGTCATGCGATTTCAGATTCTCTAACCGCCAAAGTCCCAAATCCGTTTATTTTTCTTCTTTCCTTTCCCATATAGGCTGAAACCCCCGTGATGGCATTAACTGATTAGCAAAACCAAGTCCAGAACCCCAGTGTTTGTTCTCCCCCAGACCATAAGGCTTTCAACATTGTTCCCTCCATCGACCTTCAGCCTACCCTCTGTGATCCCAACAGCTAAGAGTTGTTGAATAGGTTCAACAGCCAGGAGAGATGCAATGGTTTCATAACCGGCAACAACTACTGCTTTCTTCTCTTTATCAGTATGCAATTCTAATAGTGACATACTAGCAAAACCAAGTCCGGAATTATATGATAGCGTTGAACTCTGGGACAGATGAAACGATGTCAGCGACTGAGATGACATCTGAGAACTGAAAGCTACTCTTCGCGATGAAACTGAAGCCGTTTGCGATGACGTCTGCGAACAGAGAGAGGAAGTTCGCGACTGCGAACTGAGAGAGGAAGTTCGCGACTGCGAAGATAACTGCGAGCTGACGAGGTAGCTGGCTTGCGACGAGGATCTATGATGAACAAGTTGCGATGGAGAACTGGAACGATTAGGAGCGACTGATGAAGACACCTTCGATTTCGAACTGAGAGACGAAGTTAGCGAAGAAGCCAGACAACTGGACAGAAGTGCTCGCGACTGAGAAGAGATCTGAGCACCTGATGATGCCTGCGAACTACGCGAAGTAGTTCGCGATTGTGAACTAGGAGGAGCAACGGAAGAAGACACCTGATTTTCAATTGGCCGACGGCATCTCGGAGGGCTTCTGGCTCTGTCTCTGTGCCGCTTGAGTCTGTGACGAATTTTGCCCAACATATGGTGCATCTGCTTAGCCCAATCGCTTTCAACCTTTTCCACCAGCGTCTCCATGTTCGTGCATTCCTTGCTGGCGCGTTTTTCACTGTTCACACGCAAACCAGAGCGCTTCTCCACTTTTCCCGGCATAGATTGCTCTGATACCATTGATAGGAACGCTGATTTCGTAACAGTAAAACAATCACTATTATTGAACAGAATTGCAGAAAAGAAGAAGGTATAGACAGGGCACTTCGAGAGGCCTCAACTCTCCCAGATCCTAATTTCCCAAATCAAAAATCTCCCCTTTCTTATTTCTCCCTCCCTTCTATTTATACTTACTTATGGGCCAGCCCTAAACTAACTAATACCTGGCCCAGGACCCTTTAATTATTAGTATTATTATACTAATGGGTTCCTATTACAAAATGCCAAGGAAATGAAAAATGATAGGGAAAATTACTGTCATATGCGAGTTTTCTGAAAAAAATGCAAAAGACAACAAAATATAATTTGTTTTTAAAATAGTGTTTCCATGTACATAGATTTCTTAATCTTTATAAATTATACATAAAAAATAAGAACGAGTATAATCAATTCTCCTATAAAAATATTTCGAGTCTTAGTCTTTTTTCCCTTGCACTTTCTTTTCTTACAATTTTCTATATGCTTTTCTTTCTATTTTCTATTCCTAGTGTTTTCCGGGTTCAAAAGGAACCCTTTTCAGCAGCCAGCAGCAGGTGGAAACTATTTTCAACCCACAGCTTTGTGTCCATGAAATATTTGGATTCGTTTTGCTTTGTCTAATAACAGGATGCAAATGATAGCCGTACTTTTGGGCCCGTTTGCATGGATGATATAATTGGCAGAGTTATTTATTGCATAAGATCAGCTGTTGACCACGGCCCCGTTAATAACAGGTTTCTTGTCTTATTGCGGTTCAATGAAAGTGGTAAATAAAAAATCTGGTTGTAATAAAATGGTATTTTTATCCAGTAAGCTAGGTAGTCAGAAGGATGCACCAGTGCTTGAAGTTGAGCTGGATGTGGAAGAGATGATGAAGAATCACAAAACATAGACGGTCAAGATCATATATTCAAATTCCTTTCGGCTTTATTATACATTTGGACCGGTGATCTATTCTGTGTGCATGCACAATTTCATTCATATTATGAGCAAGAAGTATCACCAAAAATAAGTGTTTCCTACGGGATTGTGTTTAGTTCATTTTTACTTTTTCCCTGCCGAAAACTGATTCTTAGCTGTCATTTTGCTGGTGTTAGTTTGTGTTAAGATGGCTGACATCTGTTCAAGGGACCTCGACATGTAACTGCCAAAGATATAATATTAGCCTTTCATGTGCAAATCATTCACAACACAACATATAGCTTTGTTGACAGAACCTGTTGATTTTTTTATTAGATTAAAATTAGAAAAATAGGAGATGTTATAGCAAATCGGAGTCTTACTATGACGATGGAAGACTTTTCATGCAAAAGGGTCGCAAGAATTATAGAAAGGCGGGGATAATTCATTGGATCAGCAGTTTAAATGTAAGTGAGACTAACTATAGCAATGAAACAATGAGTGATCTTAGCTGTCCTATTGAAGAAAATAGCAAAGGTTGTAACTGCAAGTAACTTGAAAAGAAGATTAATTAGCAGAGGCTGTGTTATATTGTGAAAAGCCTCCAATCTGTTTATTTTAAAGTTGTATGGGTAGTATTCAATCATTATCAACCGAAGGACACCGTTTTGATTTAAATCAAGGACGGGGTCTAGGAGCCAACAAACATACATGTAATACTATACTTGTATACAAATAATTTTGAAGATATGTCCAGCTTTTGCTATATATCGACAGTGGATGTTTTGTATGTGTATATCCAATAACATTTTGAATTTGGTAACCCAAAAAAGAATCAATTTTCTCTCTGTAATAAAATTTGGCCTCCCCCTAAAGGTCATTGGAAGTTTATTTAGCTGTAAACAGTGAACTTCAGCATTCAACAAAACTATCATCTAACATTTTTGTACTGGAATGGTACAAAAATGTTCACGAGCATGTCCACTAAGGAATATGTTGTCATGATGAATGACTAAGATTTATTCATTTAAAATATTTAGAGAATCTCAATCATTCATCACGTCAGTGTGCTTTTTAGTGAGCATGCTAGCATGCTCCATATGGTTTCTACGAACATCGACCTCATAATGGAACTCCTTAATGAATAATAAGCATTATCCTCCCGTTTTCAAACTTACATATGATTAGGCTCCTTTATTTAACACAACGCTTAAAATTTAATGTATTCATATAGAAACAAGTACAATTTTTTGAAAAGTAAGCAAGAAAGTAAACATGCTACAAATGTCAAATGGATTTAAGAGCATATATAGTAACTATTGTACTCCCTTTGTCTCAATTTTATTTAAAACGCTTTATTAGAAAGTCAAATTGTATATTTGTAAGCCTGGAAATGATGTATAAAGAAGAGAAATAATATCAATAAAATTGGTCATTCATTAAAAAGAAAAGAGAATAAATTCAAGACATCCATAAAAGAAAGCAGAATGCAAATTATGTTATGATGAATGGAGTATTATGTCTCCGAAAACACACTCATTTTTGCTTCATCTACTTTTTAGTAGCTGTTGAGGTTTATTCCCTTCAACCCGTAGACCCAACACACAACCTAAGGGTTTTGAGTGGGTAATTTAGGAGAGTAAGATCAAACAAGTAAGATGAGGCCCAATAAGAAGTCTTATTATCCTGAAGGGGTTACAGAGGCGTGAGGCCGTTCGTCCCCAGATATGATACGAGGTGCTTAAATGCGCAACCCCCAGAATCTTGGCTTCACGCCAAAGGGTGGGCACGTTCATCCCCATGGGCTTGCCTAGCTTGATCCCGACCAAATATCCTGTATTAAATGCAGAATTCCATCAGGATCTTGGTAGTCCGCCAAGAGGTGGGGACGTTCGTCCCCATGAGCTTGCCTTTGTTTTCCTGCTGGACCCAAAGTCATGCGAGACGTGCGGCTCGTGCTGCTCCTGGGCCAAGGTACCTGCCACACTAGGATACGTACGTTCCCTTAATGGGGAAGGGTATCCGGGTCTTGTACCTTTTGGGGGGCATTCGTCCCCATGGGCCTCCTGCTGCCCTTAGTCCCGTGAGACGTGCGTCTCGTGCTGCTCTTAGGCCAAGGTATCTGTCACGCTAGGATACGTACGTCCCCTGGATGGGGAAGGGTATGTCGTTGTCTTGGGCCTTCTAGGGACGTTCGTCCTCATGGGCCTCCTGCTGGGCAAAGTCCTGTGAGACGTGCGTCTCGTGCTGCTCTTGAGCCAAGGTATCTGTCATGCTAGGATACGTATGTCCCCTGGATAATCGAAAGGGTATCCCGTGCTCTTGGGCCTTCTGGGACATTCGTCCCCACTGGCCTTAAGGGTTTATGGGCCAAACCCATTGGGCCATTAACCCAACAGTAGCTAAATAGTAAGGAAAAGCTACTCTCATATTCATAATTAGATCTCACAATTACTAGCAAAAAACATTTTCTCTCACTCTCACATATGTGAAATTTGCATCAATTGAGATCTAAGGAGATAAAAAGTAATCTCATGTGTTAGAATTGATAATTGTACATCTCGTTATAAAGAAAAATAATCCTTGCAATGAATGAGAAAAATAAGATGACAAATTTGTAAATAAATACTCCTTCAGCCTTTTAAAACTTTGTCAATTTTTTAGGTTGTCTCACTAACTTTATCACTTTTCCTTTAAGTAAAGAATTTGTAGTTCCAATTAATTTTTTCTCCTCTCACAAACTTGAACCACACAGTTTTTACTTTATAAATCCTCGTCTACCTGATAAAGTTTTAAGAGAAGGATCAAATATAACTTTTTCTACCACTCCCAAATGTGCATTTTCGATTGGATTTTTTTGGTTTGAAATGTTAATTTGTGTCACTCGTGCGTTCATATAAAATGGGCGTATGATGTAATAGGAACTAAAATGACAGAACGGAGATGATGAATGGATGCGTAGCCTACACATAATGCGCGGGGGGCATATGTTACTGTACGAGTCAAACTCATTTTCTAAAATCTGATGGCACGTCCTCCTGTTTTAATTACCTTATACCCAAAAAAGAACACACCTTAATATTATTGGGTAAACATACAGTGGTAATTCATTTCATCCAATACAGAAATTGCTCAAAGGAGAGTAAAATATGAAAAGAATTTCTAAAATAGGATTATACTAAGTGGTGTTTTATTTCCATAATATGACTTATTTGATTTTGGCTTTGTTTGTTTTTCGATCCGCTGCATTTTACATTGCTTTCGGTTCAAATGATCAGTTCAGTGCTTGTACCCAAACATGCCCTTTATTACAAATTAAAATTATTCAAACTTTTAAATCATATTTAGGGGAAAAATAAATGCACTCATATTTGAAGAATGAATAATGTTTTAGTTCTATTTAGGATATTTCCTCAATATTATTTAGACCATGCTTGATAATATTAAAATTGTTTAGTATTATTTAGAGCATGCTTGATAATATTATTTAGAGCATGCTTGATAATTTTAAAACTGTTTTGGTATAATATTTAGAATATAGTGTGAAAATAAAAAAATTCTCGAAAAGGAGAAAACTGTTTTGAAATCTAAAAGTAGGACTATTATATTTTTTTTACTCTAATAAAAACATAACATGAAGTACGTTACCCTCATCCTGAAAATTTGTTGTCTTGTTTTGGCATTACAAAAGAACAACGAAATTGGCACGAATCTTTGGCACGGTTTTGTCAAAATTCACAGGTAAATGGTATTTGACATGAATTTGGCACGATGACGTCCCAAAAATATGTTATGATCCGTATGAAACTCGACCATTATGTGCAATGTCTGTCCCAATATCGTTGTTTTTTTGTAGTGTATAGAGGAATCAACTTCGCAATATGAGTTAATGAGTCATATTTTAATTAAACCATCAGCAGAGTTTTGAAAGCATGTAAGTATGTTAATTTATAAGGTGACAACTTCGGCACCCATTTAAAAAAGGCAATTTCTATGGTACCTTGAAGGTATGGTACCTTGATGGTATGGACCAATAAAAATTTTTCAATTGAATAATTTAAATGCAAATAAAATGTAAAACTTTGAGTTGGACCAATGAAATGCATCCTAGGTATGGTAGCCTCCTATTTTTGTTGGGTACCATAGCAAGCACCTTTAATAAATGGGGTACCGTACCTAACATTCATTTGATAGGTCCAAATCATTATATCATTTTTAATTTAGATTTAAATAATTCAACTGTAACATTTTTATTGATCCATATGGACGAAGGTATGGTACCTTATGGGTACCCATATAATCTACCAATTTATAATGCATATTGCATATACTAAAATACCACGTGTCTTGTCTTATACTCGATGTATATGTTTACTATAGCAGTAAAAAAGTCATTTGTTTATGGTAAGGAGAGGATCTAGGAGTGAAGGATGCGGTGGTCTAAGCAGTAAAAAAAACTATTATTGCATACAAAGGGTTTAGTTTATGGTAAGTTGTTATTGAACAGATCTTTTTTAAACTTACTTACTTCAAGCATGATTTTGAATTTATTTTAAGGACCCGAGCTTAACAAATTTCGAACTCGAACACGAGCTAGATTTTGAATTTGAATATTATTCAAGCCGAAATCGAGCATAGTCATTTTCAGTGCGATCCGGGCTCAAGCTTATCGCGATAACTTATAAATTATAGGAATAAATTATATACTCCCTTCGTCCACTTTTATTTAACCAAAATTTGACTTTTCAAGTTAAAGAAGTTAAAATTTGAATGATTATATATTCATACACGCTAATATTGATAATATGAAAATGATATAAATATTTTCTTTGTTAAAAATATTATCATAAAAGTATAAATTTATTAAGTTTCACATTAATACTAGTTAAAATAATGAATCATAGTTTACCATCTTTGACTGAAAAAGTCAAACATGGCGAAATAAAAAGGGGCTGAGGTAATATATGTTACTAGTCTAACTACGTCTGCCCCCCCCCCCCCCCCCCCCCCCCCCCCCAATATTGGGACAAAGGGATGTGGTGCGATTTTTAAGAAAAAGTAAAATTGTGCAGTTAATATTGAATTGATATAGTGTGAACAAAGGACTGAGATTACGTGTTCAGGTGTGATATCTAACCCAGATCTCCCACGAATCAACAAATTTGAACCAATTGTATACATTGGGTTGCTTCAGGTTGATTCCCCTTATTTTATGAGTAAGTATACCGTACACCCGGTTGTACTAATTTATGGCGCTAATTTTATAATTTAATGCTAATACACACATCTATCATTTA